GAAAAGGAGGACATGTCTGAACAACTAGCAGCATCCCAGACTCAAATAACAACTCTTGAGGAAGAAATAAAGCAGTTGTCAGAAACCCTTCATCAGGAACAATCTTACTTGGCGGTAGCCACGACTGAAAATGATGACTTGAATGTTCAAATCAACAAACTGAAAGAAATTCAGGCCGACCATCTAGGGCAGATCAGTATTCTAGCATCTCAGTGTGGGGAGTTGGATTCCTGTATGTATGAGGTAAGGAAAGCATTGAAGAATCAGTTGATGGAAAAAGAAAAACAGATGGCTGAGGCGAGAGCTTCATACAATTTACTGAAGACAAAATCAGATGAAAGTGAACAACAGCTACTTGAAAAGGGAGACGTTTTCATTACAGTCGAGACTGAAAAGAGGAAGTTGGAATCATTGCTTGAGGAAAACTGCAGTCAAGTGGCATTTGTTCAGAAGGAAAAAGTTGAATTGACTGAACAATTAACAGATGTTCGCATGCAAGTCATTTCACTAGAAACAGAAAAAAGGAACATGGAAACTGTAGTCAGTAATTATACTTGTCAACTGAACTCTGTGGTGGAGGAAAAAGAGGAGTTTTGTCGGCAGCTAGCAGCTCTTCAGGTAAAACTTACATCACTGGAGACAGAAAAGAAGATTGCTGATGACTTGGTTAAAGATTACGACTATTCACAAAAATCTGCTCAGGAGGAAAAGATTCAAATGTCTCAGCAGCTGGAAACTGTTCAATCAGACAAGGAATCACAAATAAGTAAGCTTTCAATGGAACTGGAGAAAGTCATCAAGGAAAAGAAACAAGCTGAAATGATGTTGGTTCAAATGGAAAGCGAGTCCAATTCTCAGTTTAGTGTTCTTCAAGCAGAAACATGTTCCCTACAGGAGCGTCATGATGAACTCCAGAGTGTGTGCAAAAACATTGTTTCAAATAACAAAACAACGGCAAAAGATTTGGATCAGGCCAAATGTCTCCTCGCAGAGAAATCTAAACAGATGCAGGACATGGATACGTATCTGGTTGAAGCGAAAGTTGATTACCAACATAACTTTGATGCCCTGCAAAAAGAAAAGGAGGAATTGCAAGAAAGGACGCAGCAGCTGCAAGAGGAATTTACAGAGAATTTAAAAGTATTGGAACTAGAAAATGTCAAACTTCAAGACCAATTTGCTAGCACAAGAGAGCAGTGGAGGGATTATGAAACCCAGGTAAAAGATGAAAGAACTGCAGAAGAAGAGACACGTCGTACACAATTTAAAGAATCAGTTATCTTGAAAGAAAGATTGGCCAATCTAGAGGATGAAATTTTGAGCAAAGAAAAGGAAATGACTTCCCTTATGGATAGCTTGAGAGAGAAAGAGAGTACACTCATTGATGTACATGATTTAAATATGAAAAATAATCTTCTAACAACAAAGCTTGAAAAAAGTCAACAGAAACTGATGGAGAAAGAGGCTCAAAACAGTATTCTTGTTCAAGAGACAATGGAATTGCAAAATGCTAGATATTCATTTGAAATCTCATCTGCAACCATGATAAGGAAATTGATTCAAGAAAAGACGTACTGTGCTAAAGAGAGGGACATTGTGGTCATGGAACTGGCAACGAGCAATGAACAGAACACACTGCTGCAAGACCAACTGTCAGAGGTAGAGCGTTTGAAGAATACTTTTGATGAGGATAAGAAAAATATCCAATATGACATTGAGGCAATGTCTGAGAAATGTGACGGGCTCATGAAGGATTTAGAACAGAAGAATTCTGAACACGCTCTTGTTCTAGAAGAACGAGACAATCTACGCAAGCTACATCAGGAAGCTGAGGAGGTTATGAAATTACTGCAAACAACACATTCAGAGAATAGCAAGAGAATGGAAGAACTCCAAATTCTTCTTAATGGAAAAGAGGAGGAAGTTATTTCACTTAGGACTGCTTGCAATGATTCCCAGGCACAAGTTGAAGATCTTCTACTCAAACTAGAGGATACTGCTAAGCAAACAGACAGTCATTTGGAAGATAAGAAACATTTAAAGAGTGAGATTGACTCCATGAGAGACAACAAAAACCTAGAATTGAAAGAGATGGAATCGGAGAAAGCAATGATTAACAAACAGCTGCAAGAAACATTGACAAGGGTCCAGATTTTGGAGGAAGAAAACCGGAGCTTGACCGACAATGTGGTAGAATTGGATCACAAGGTGAGATCTGCAGGTGACGAAATCAAGGTCGTCCTTGACAACAAGAACATTCTGGAAGGACAACTAGAACAATATATGGTTGATAATGAACAGCTGACAAAACAGGTAACTATACATATTCTATGTGGCTTGAGAGACAACTTTATTAAGAAAAAATATGTATAATTTGAAATGTTTTCATTTCTTGAAATCAAAATTTTAAATGTTTCTCTCAAATTACATAGAAATATGGTTATGTAGATGACTTCACATGCTCCTTCAGTGCTCAATTCATTGATAAATACTTGACTCAAAGTTTCCCATAGTTCAATTCCTAGTTTTAAATTTACATAGCCATGCTAAGGATAGATTTTTTTGGAATGATTAGAGAAGTCTTTTGCGATAAAAGGTGTTATTTGAGATATCCAGTTAAGATAAAATCCTGTTAGACTAAATGATGACTTTGAGTAAGGGTGTTACGACTAAGTGATGACTTTGACTAAGGGTGTTATGACTAAGTGATGACTTTGACTAAGGGTGTTACGATTTTACAGTTATGTGTTTTGTTCCATACATTGTTCACAGCATGTTTTAAAGTTGTTAATAATATTTCAAATTGTTTGTTGAAAGTTTTGAAAATACACTCCCTATAATTTGAATCAAATGTTACTACCACGATACCACACCAAGGGAAGACACTTAAGGTTGAAAGTGGGCTAGGATAGGATTTTTTATTAAAGAATCAAAATTGAAATAAAAATAATCAGAATACCAAGGTACAGTAGTTTAGCCTTGCCTAAAGAGATATTCTTGTGAAACAAGATTTATTTTGGTCGTTTCAATAAATAGTTTACAATTATATCCATGTATCCTGATAGAAAACAAAGTATGGACTTTTAATAGTGAAATGAACATAAAAAAATAAGTTTATCAAGGAAATCTCAAAGAGTCTGCTGTGACCAAAATTTGTCGCACCTTGTTTACTATAAGTAGCACTCATGTTGTAAAACTTATTTAAAATACATGTGTATAGTGGAGAAAGAGAATTAGTTCATTTTTCTGATCGTATAATTGTCAATGCTGAACATCAAATTTTGTATTTAATTAATGGAATAGATAAAAAGAAGCATGCTTGATATGCTTGGAATGGAAAAAAATGTCAGATTCCAAAAAAAAAAGG